TATATATATATGATATGTCTTCATTCACTTTATTCAACATATCTGGCCCACGTGACTTCTGGCTCTTCCGTGAACTCAACATGACCATGAGAGGTAATGTTTTTAATCAATTCAGGACACCAAGGCAGCCACAGCACAGCAACTAGAGACACTTGTAAAAGAGGACTCAGAACTGCTGCAGAAAGCGGTAAGAATGACGAGATGAGTGCTTGAAGTGAGGGGAAGGATTGTAAGGGGGATGAATGGCAATGTGTCTTTACTGTAATACACTTTTAAAGCATTAAATAGTCACCGTATTTTTCTATCACACCTCATAGTTTGGAGCTCTGTATTTTGTTCTGTTGGTCCATGTGTCTACTTTTATGGCAGTATCTTGCTGTTTTGGTTACTTGTAGCTTTGAGGTATATTCTGAAGTCAGGCAGCGTGACGTCTCCAACGTTGCTCTATTTGCTCATGATTACTGTGGTTATTTAGGATCTTCTGTGGTTCCTATGAATTTTAAGGATGCTGTTTCTAGTTCCATGAAGAATGACTTTGATACTTAATCTACAGATTGCTTTAGGGAGTGTGGACATCTGAACAATATTAATGCTTCCAATCTATGAACGTAAGATATGTTTCCACTTATCACGTCTTATTTAACTTCTTTCATCAATGTTTTATAGTTTTCAGTGTAGAGACTTTTTGCCTTCTTAGTTAAAATTTTTTTAGCTATTGCACATAGGATTTTTTCTTGATTTCTTTTTTAGAGAGCTACTTTCGCATATAGGAATGCTATTGCACTTTGCATGATTTTATACCCTTCAACTTTATTAAATTTGTGTATCAGTTATAACGGTTTTTTGGTGGAGTCTTTGAGGTTTTCTATTTATAAGATCATACTGTCTGCAAACAGGGATAATTTACTTCCTCCTTTACAATTGGATGCTTTTTATATATACATTTCTCTTGTCTCCTTGCTCTAATTAGGACTTTTGCTATGTTGAGGGGAAGTAGTGAAAATGGACATACTTGAGTTATTCTTGATCTCAGTGGGAAAATTAAGTACTTTATGCTTCTGTACTTATATTTTTTACATTATTTAAAATAAATTTTCATTTTATTTTTTATTTTGAAGTGCTATGGACTGAACCCAGGGCATTTGAACTAAACTACACTACCAGTCTTTTTAGAAATTTTTTATTTTGAGACAAAGTCTAAATTGCTAAATTGCCCAGATTGAACTTGAACTTGTAATCCTCCTGCCTCCACCTCCCAGAATACTGAGCTTACAGGTAAGCCCCACCATGCTTAGCTGAATTTTTCAAAAAATATTTCAAATTTATAGTTGGGCATGGTGGCACACACCTATAATACCACCACTTGGATATTTTATAATTTAAATATATCTTAAATTTTTATTTCATTATAAACTGTCATATTTATATTATTATATATTTATATTTATACAGCATATTTCATACCCTTTATAATTGCCTATGTATAAATTGGTATGTCTACATATGTCTTAGTTACTTTTCTCATTGCTGAGACAAAATACCCAATCCCCAAAGTCAAAGGAGGAAAGGATTATTTAGCTAACAGTTTGTAGAGCTTTCAGTTCATGGCTGGCTGGCTCCACGGCAGAGTTCCATGGCAGAGGAGCGTCAGTTTATGGCAAAGCAGAGTAGGCAGAAGGCATCAAGGAGCAAGCGACAAGCGATGACCCTCTTTCTGTCCCTTATATCATACCCAGGCTACCCACCCTTAGGTAGGTAGCACTCATACCCTAATGTTAGCATTGCATCCTTGATCCCAGCATCACACACCCTAGATCCAGCCACTTCTGAAAAGCCCATCTATGACTGCGTGAGGCTTCGGGAGGACATCTAGACACAAGCCATAACAACATATTACACATTAAATTCTAGGGTTGATATTATACTTCATTACATTGTATTTAAAAACCCTCCTCTTACAAAGGCTGGAAGCCAGGCAGGGTGGTGTCCCTATCGAGGTGGTGGCAATGGTTCACCAGCAGAGTTCACTGGGAGGGTGCTGGCATTCTCTGTTCCAGGAGGCACCTGTGATAGACCTCACTGACATTAAGGGCACAAGTAAGACAAGTGATTGAGAGAAAGTCAAGGCTGAGGTGCTCTAATGTTTGTTTGTTTGTTTGTTTATTTATTTACTTAGGTAGTGCTCTGATATTTAGAGGCTTCATAGAGGACATTAAAATAGCCATACCAGAGAAGCCAGTATAGATTGGGGTCAAGAAAGATGAGATTTTGTACAAAAAATATGCAGTGGAAACAGAGACACAGGATACAAGACTTGCAAACATTGATAACTGTTGAAGTTGGATGGAGGTTCATTCTACACTTTCCTCTACTCTTGAATACGTTTGTGCACTTCCATACAAAAACACACTGAAAAGGAATTGACCTATCCACTTTACTGACCTAGCAATCATTTGTGAGTTTAACTAGAGCAGATGAGAAGCCAAAGCAAATGGAGTTGGAAGGAGCTAAGAAAACAGCTTATGGAAGGGGAAGGAGGAAGACAGTTTGAAGCAGACGGCTGTGGCCATCTAGAAGTGTGCATCTCTGCAGTGAGAAGCGGCGTCTGCTCCCGGCCCCTGCACTGGACATTTCTTGGCTTCTCTGACCAACAAAGGGCGACGGATTTAAGGCTACACGACTTAGACACTGGGCCATGAAAAGATGCAGCTGCCCTGACACTCCTCTTCCCCCTCTCTCCCTCCCCACCATGGTAAAACACATGTAACATTCTCAGGAAGAAGGAGG